AAGGATACACAAATGAATCCGGTGATCTCTGTTTTTTACTTGAAACTAACCAGATATTGAGAAGGAATTTGATGTACAAATTACACGAACTAATTAGTTCAATGGTAGCTCACTTGTTTTTTTATTCGAGCGTCACTGATGAGTCTTCTGTAGGCTAGACGCACGTCTGGCATATACAATTTTAATCCTGGTATTTATGATGAGTTTTTGTATATTCTGAAATAATATGTTTTATTAGCCGGATTTTCGAAGGAAAAATCGGTTATTGATTTGGGGATTTACGGCGGGCGGGCGAGCGGCTGGCTGTCAAACAGTGTCCGTTCATTAAGGGACTTATCATTTTTTATCTGGGAGGGGGGGCTGGTCAAAATGCAGGGGGGGGTCAAGTTTTTTTCTGTATGTGGAAAAGGAGGGTTAAATTTTTTTTATAAATTCAATGTGGGGGGATCAAATTTTTTTGCACATAGAAATAAGTAGTTCACATACTTCAACGGAGACAAAATGTCAAGAAAAACATTACAACAGTCAAATCGAAATATATTTTTAACACCATTCATATACAATTAAGTAAGACATCACAAGACCTTAGTGATGTAGGATCTGAAGCTGCCATTTTGTGTCATTTTGTCCCATATAAACTTGAATGCATAGGTGCTTCATAATCCGAATAATTTAGTCGTTATATTTCACTCACTTCGATCACTAAATTAACAAGCATTACTGCCAAGTTTTGTTATAATCAGCTTAATAGTTTTATAGAAATTAAGTATAAATTAAAACGAAATCTACAGCGATTTGTGCAAAATTTTGTCCAAAAATACAAATCACGTTGTATCATGGAAGAATATAGTGTAGAGCAATAAATTCTCCAATAAATGATTAAATATTCATCTAATCTGCATACAAACAGTTGAATATTGATACAACAGATGATTCTGAGATGATGAACAACACTAATGTATCTTTTTGTTTCATTACAAGATCGCTTTGGGTCCATTTATACCTCTCACTCCCTCAAAATTTGTACTTTTTAGGCTAATAAATCAAAATTTTGAGGTTACTATCAAACATTTATGAATGAAATGTGACAATAAATGAGTAATTGAATTGTTCAAACTGTAAGCATGAACTATCCATATAAAAGTTTCGCGACTCAATGGAGGTTTCAATAAGGCCTTACGTTAAACTTAAGTTTTAGCAGCGTTCAAGAGAGGGACATATAAAAGATCCCTCTAAGTAAATAATGTGTTGTTACTGTTTCAAAAAGTTTACTTTTTAATGTATATTTTTTACAGAGTTACTTAGGATAAAGTTTTCTTTAATAGCCCAATATAGGAAATTAGAAAAAAAAAGTCAGAAAAAGCTATTCAAAGCACTGGCTTGCTCTACCTACTAATATTCATGGAAGAGGCCTCATGGAAGAACCATATTGCAAGGCAATTTTCCATCAAATGTGTTTTTGGACTCAATACACTGAGAATATTTCATTTTCAATATTTTCGTGAAATAACATGATACGTGTTTTGCATGTTAAAATTTTGGCATGTTTAATAGAGGGGGGATCACAATTTTTAAATGTTTTTACGGGGGGGGGGGGGGATCAAATAAAAATAGTGAAATATTATGGGAGGATCAAGAAATTTTGTATGTTTCATTTCAAAATGACCAGCCCCACTCCCCCCCCCCCCCCTCCCAGGTAAAAAATGATAAGTCCCTAACAAGAAAACGCTTTGACAAATTTAGATATGTTGTTTCCTGTGACTAAATGAAGGTCAAGTTCAATTGTCACGATTTTAGCTTTTCTCGTTGTTGAGCTTTAGACCCTTTCGTATTATGTGATTTGAGTTATTCCCTTTGAACAGAAATTAATAAGTTCATTTATAGATAGTCTATCAGGAAAATACGCTTTGCTGTCACTCTGACCGCCTCTTGTTTAAGGCTTATTCTGATATGATGTTCTTCTTTTGCTTTGCATACAAAGCCATGTTCTAATTCCAATAAAACATTGGCTGCACATGATTGACGTCACAACTGCAATTGCAACGTCAGAAGAATTTTAAACAACGCCGGAGATCAAAATGGACGCTCGGTATTAAGATATTGACAAATATAATGCCTACCCATGTTAAAATGAGCATAGAGCATGGCATGAAAGAATTATTTCTTAATTTGAAGCGTCAAACAATATTTTCTGCACGTCGTCCATTGTATTTATTTTTGACCCAAATAATGTATACTCTTCTTGTTTGCAGTGTTATCATTCTATTATCATTTCGTTATCATTTCTAGACTTTTTGGTAATATGTATTTGAAGCTTTGATTAACTATAGTCGGAGCTAATATCCTAAAATTTTGGGGTGTTTTCATACTGTATGGGTTTCGTTAATACCGCATAGGTAGTATTCTTACGAAATGAAAGACCATGACGGAATCAAATGATTTCTTTCAGGCATTAAGAGATCCGAATTTGCATGAATAGAACACCTATTGTAAATATTTTTGGATGCTCTTTGGTATTGGAGCCAATTAACTTTTTAATATTTTCATTTTAATATATGCAAGTTTGTATGTTATGCCTTTTTTCTATAAATGTATTCTGTTGTTTTTGTTTAATTTATTAACATGTAAAATTGAGAATGGAAATGGGGAATGTGTCAAAGAGACAACAACCCGACCATAGAACAGACAACAGCAGAAGGTCACCAACAGGGGTCTTCAATGCAGCGAGAAATTCCCGCACCCGGAGGCGTCCCTCAGCCGGCCCCTAAACAAATATATATATACTAGTTCAGTGAAAATGAACGCCATACTAAAATCCAAATTGTACACAAGAAACTAAAATTAAAAATAATACAAGACTAACAAAGGCTAGAGGCTCCTGACTTGGGACAGGCGCAAAAATGCGGCGGGGTTAAACATGTTTATGAGATCTCAACCCTCCCCCTATACCTCTAGCCAATGTAGAAAAGTCAACGCATAACAATACGCACATTAAAATTCAGTTCAAGAGAAGTCCGAGTCTGATGTCAGAAAATGTAACCAAAGAAAATAAACAAAATGACAATAATACATAAATAACAACAGACTACTAGCAGTTAACTGACATGCCAGCTCCAGACTTCAATTAAACTGATTGAAAGATTATGTCTTCATAATATGAATATCAGGCACAATCCTTCCCGTTAGGGGTTTAGTATCATACCATCATAACATATATGAGAAGAACATAACCCGTGTCATGCCAACAACTGGTTTTTAAATAAATGTGTTTAGTGCCGATGCAAAGACCCTATAAGTGAATCAATATTAACGCCAAAATATGCAATCTTTAATGACCTGACAACAGTATCGTAACTATATCCCTTCTTAATAAGTCTATTTAAAGGTACTTGTTTTATATAGTAAGTTTATTGACACCTGTCAAATACCGAATTAACACTCTTATTCAATGGTTCATTTAAGTTTTTGTCGTCGATTTAAATTTATATCCCAGCACTAGATATCATGTTAAATTGATAACATGCTGACTTATGTATCAGAATTTGTGTGATTCTTTTGTTTAAATGAAACCTTTTTACATTGCTTTTTGATTCCAACATTATTTCATTTATTCCACTTAGTAAGCTTAGCGTCTCTTCCAAACCTTATGTATATAATTACAATGACTTATAAATGATATATACATGTCTCAATTTACTTGAATAATTGATGATTAATTGCCTACACACTTAAATATAATATTCATTATGTAATTAAAACTGTAAATATGTATTTCTGTGTGTGTGTGCTCATTAGTAGCCTGCATTTTCTACTATTTTTTAGTTATATTATTTTAAACACAGTTATTAAAAAATGATTTATACCTTGTACATGTATTAATATGGAGAGAGATTTTATATGCTGTGCCTGTACTCAATCCTTTTCATATCTTAATCAATAAAATATGTTTAAAAACAAACCTTGCAATCATTCCATACACCAAATATAGTTGACCTATTGGATATAGTATTTAAGAAACAGATATAACCATGAAAACTTAACATTGACCAATGAACCATGAAAATTAGGTTATTGTCAGATAAACATGCCTCACAGACTTGACACCTAACAATCATTAGAAAATGAGGTCAAGGTCACATGAAATCTGCCAGCCGGACAAGTACATATTACAATCATTCCATACACCAAAGTTGACCTATTGGTTATAGTTTCTGAAATACAGACTTGGCCACGAAAAATTAACCTTGATCCATGAAATAAGGTCAAGGTCAGATGAACCCTGTCTGATTGACATGTAAACCCTACAAGGATCCCATATATCAAATACCGGACTGATAGTTATCCTTTTACTCATAATAAGAGAGTATTTTTCTTTACAAAAATACTACATTTTTTTTTCAAGCAGTTGCTTAACCATGAAAATGAGGTCAAGAACAATGGACATATGACAGATAGCAATCAGGTAACATATGGCAATTGAGTTCAAGGTATGAACCATCCACGTATTCTACCTTCTGAAATATAAAGCTTTATACAAATGCATCAAGCATTTACTATTGATCAATGAGCAATGAGAATGAGTTCAAAGTCAGACGATCCTGCTAATCAGATATGAACACCTTCTCCAGGAAAACTATACATTGACCAATGGACCATGCAACTGATGTTATATTCAGACGAACCCTGCAAGATAGACATCTGCATCTAACAACCATTCCATACACAAAATAAATTTGACCTATTGCTTATAATTTCTAAAAAACAAACTTCACCATTAACCAACAAACTACGAAAATGAGGTCAAGGTCAGATAAACCCTGCCAGATAAGCTTGTACATCTTACATTCATTCCATATATTTTAACATCAAATATAGTCAACCATTTGCTTAGATTATGAAAAGCAAACACGACCATGAAACTGAACATTGGGTATGGGTTTTGCTTGTAAAGGCCTGACCATTTAGTATAACTGACTATTGGGCTCAAGCAGTAAAAACTATTAGGTGCTGATACTTTAATCGAGAACCAATCTAACAAATGGTAAAAAACTGAAAATACAAAATGAAATACAATTTTACAATGTGTTGAAAAATTATAATATATGAAATGTCAAATATTTTTAATAGCATATGCAGTCCATTGAATGTAAAATAAAGTTTAAGGTTTTCATTTCCAGTATATCATGGATAAAGAGTTCAAATATATGATGAGCGGTTTGAAGGCATCAAATACAATGTTATTAATGTAAATTATTTTGTGGGTAGCTAGGAATTGTGTCAAAGATGATGTATGTCCTAAAATGTTCCTGGGTTCTGTAATGACCTTGCAGTTCAGTTTAAAATGTGTGTGACAAAAGGAACAGTTAACAGTAATTTCAATATTTTGAAGTTCTTTGCTGTTTAAAGATGAATAATACTCCTAGGTCAGAAACACATAAACAGATTAAGAATATAATCAAACAAACTATATATATTCATTAAAAGGTCATTTACAGATGTAAATGACCTATAGCTGAAAACTTTTAAACCGTGATAATGAGGTCAAGGTCAGGGGAAGCTTTCAGACATGTTTACCCTACTATTATTGCACACGCCAAATATAATTTACCTATTGCTTATTGTATCTGAGAAAAAGACCACACCATAAACATGAGGTGTAGGTAGGAGGAAACCTGCCATTTACACCTAACAATCATTCCAGATATCATCTGGAGAGTTGTCTCATTGGCAATCATACTACATCTTCTTATTTTTAAATCAAATAAATTTGATCTATTGCTAATAGCACCTGAAATATGGACTTGACCACTTAACTTCATCCTTGATGACTGATCATGCAATGAGGTCAAGGTCAGGTGAACCATGTCCTACGGACATTTAGACTTTGCAAGGATCCCATCTTTGAAGTTTAGTTATCATATTACACATAATGTATAAGAAATTCAAGGGACTAAATTTTTTAAGCACTCACTGAACCATGAAAATGATGTCAAGTAAAATGCATATCTGACCTAGGAAACTTCATGACAAAATCTATGTGTATACAAGGTGTGAAGCATTAAGGAGTTTTACCTTATAAAATATAAAGCTTTATAATGAGCTAAATATTATTTTGGAAACAGAGCTAAATGCAAATAAAAACATTTTCTTTTCTCACTTCAATTAATACTTTATTGATCTGATTCTAGAATAAACTACATGTGCTACCCCTGATATTAATGAATTATTCACAAATTCTAATATTAACTGTATTATATGGAAATCTGGTAAAATTTCTGGTGAAGATTTAAATCGTTTTTGTTCTGATATATTTACACAAGTCTGAATCTGTGGGTTCATCCAATGAACTATAAGTTCTTTCATACACAATGGAAATATATCATCAATGATTTCTTCAGGTGGAGGCAAGTTATCAATACATTTAATATGATTTTCTTTAAACTTTTCAACATTTTCAGAAATCTGACAATCAAACTGATTCAATTCTTTTCCAACATATTTACAAATAAAATTTAAAAATTTATCATGAATTGCATTTTTACTGATATCTAAGTCACAACCTCTGAACTCCTCTAATAATTCAGTAGAGAAAGTAACAGGTAAAATAATCTTTGGATAATGATCAAGGAACAGACAAATTACATCACAGAATAATGTTAAAAAGTCCTTGTCTGTCTCTGAATACATGAACATAAGAAACTGATTTAATTTAATTAAACAATTTGTTAAATCAGGATTCAGTTTTGTATTTTCTTGAATTAAATAAACACAATATGGACATCTCACCACAGGACTTTTATTTTCTGTCTGTGAATTAATACCTTGTTGATGGTCATTGGTTAATTCACTAGTTTGCTCACAGTGATTTTTAGTCCTTTTTAATTCCATACTAGTTTTTTGTTTGCTATTATTTGTGATAACACAAGGATGTGTCGAGATACTTTCCTCCTCTTCTATGTTATAGCTGCTTTCATTTTCTAAGATTACAGATATTCCATCTGTTTGTACTGTTGTAGTATTTGTTTGCCTCAGATTGTCTGCATACATCTCTACAATGCCTGTTGACATAATTGAATAAATCTCTTCAGTCTGTGTTGACATGGTTGAATATATGTTGCCATGCTCTGTTGACATGCTAAAACAAATATCTTCAGTCTGAGTTGACATGTTTGAATTAATCTTTTCAGTCTGGGTTGACATGTTCAAATAAATCTCTTCAGCCTTGGTTGAGGTATGTTTTCTTTTGTCTGAATGTCCAGAAGAAATGTGAATTATTTGTGAACTTGAACAACCTTTCCTATAATGTAAGTCATTGGTATCATTAGTTTTATGTTCATGATCTGGTATGACTTGGACACTCTTGGAATTCAGATGCTCCAGATGTTTTTGTGATCCCGTTGTATTTTCAGTGCTATGCTGAATTGAGAATTTTTTATTTAAATGTGTATTTAATGTACAATGTGTATTCCCGTCAGAGGAATGTTTATTTACTAACTCTATATCCGTCCATGCTGGTCCGAGTAATGATAAGTTTATTCTGGCTGATTCCTCATCCAACTTGACTGCCATTGTTTCTGATAACACAGGATTTTCATTATGATGTAACCAAATGTTCTAGAAAATAAAATAATGAGGTCAAGGATTCACAATAATAAATACATCTATTAATTTCTGAATTAACAGTGTATAAAACATGTTTTAAATTTAAGTTCTATGCATACCACTACTTTTTTTGCATGTAATAATGTTCAAATATTATCTCTTTAAACACAATACATTCCAACATATCATATTCGTCCTCCATCAGGCAATAACATGTATGGACTGTCTTTATTATGTAATAGTAGGGCCTTAAAATATATAGCTATTTTTTTAGGTTATTATTCAACTATTGTAAATTAATTTTAATTTTTTCTATATATATAATATATATATATATATTTATTTCTCAACAAACCAAATTACATTGGTAAGGAGATACACACAATATATATATATTTCATAACGCAAAAGTAAGACAGAGGCAATTACAGAGATTACAGTAGATGTTAACACTATAGGGGTAAATTACATTGTTTACCAAGGAGAGCCTACATGAACATCAATTAACCTTATAATTTATTTTATACAATGATATCTTATATAAAATTGCAGGAAGTTTTTCTTGTTTTCCAGTAAATAATTTTGTCCATTAAATACTTATAGTTTAATATCCATTTAATATCCATGAGGAGCAGGGTCTGCTTACTCTTCTGAGATCACCCCCAGTTTTTGGAGTGGTTCGTGTTGCTCAGTCGCTAAGTTTTCTATGTTGTGTTTTGTGTACTGTTGTTTGCCCGTTTGTCTGTTGGTCTTTTTCTTTTTTAGCCATGGCGTTGTCAGTTTATTTTTGACTTATGAGTTTGAATGTCCTTTTGGTATCTTTCGCCTCTCTTTTGCAAAGGATATCTGCCAAGTTCTCCATATATATCATACAAAAGTTTACAGAATTCCACATTCAATGACAGAATTTTTATCAAAATAAGAAAATGTGGTATGATTGCCAATGAGACAATATTTCATGACCAAATGGCATGGATGTAAGCAACTAGAGATGAATGTACAGCTTTCATGTTAGTTGTTAAAAATGTTTATATATTATCAGCAATTTTAATTTGACTATGTACTTGTGAAACAAAATTGTAATGATGTGGAGGATTAAGTTCTATTCAATGTCTTGTACTAAATACCTACTGTTAAAATCTTTAGACAATCTTTCTGGACATCTTTCTTGAAGTAATAGAAAATGACTTGGAACAGACCTTGGATGTTATAAAACCAGACCTTGTTTTGTGTCATTCCATCGATTCTGAAATCTAAAAAATAATCTATATTTTACATTTAATGCGTCTTTTGGAGTGTTTATTTATTATAATCAAAGACCTACATTGAAAACCACAGCAAAGCACTGGGATTCATTATTATTGGTTGGATACCAATTTTCTTTGATTTTGTGAGTACAGGGGAACCACAAATTTAAAAGTTCAATTAATTATAAATTTTCTAGGAGTTTGAATGCAGACTTTGTCAAAACCATGAAATTAAATATCCATGAAAATGCAAGTTTTCCCCAAACCATGAAATAAATGAATCCACAGTATATATGGAAAATTTTCTTTCTGTCATTATCATGATAATTAGGGTATACAAAGCAGTGAAATAATTAATGGGATATTGCTATACTGTACATCATAACCAAATGTCCCCTGCTGCTGTGATATAATCATGATAATTAGGGTATATAAAGCAGTGAAATAATTAATGCGATATTGCAAAATCATAACCAAATGTCCCCTGCTGCTGTGATACAATAGTCTGAAAAAGGTGGAAGTCCCCTAACTCCCGTAAAAATAGTAAAATCAAATTAAAAATGGAGGTACAAAATGGTCAACTACAGATAACAGAAAACAATTTCACATAGAATGAAAGCTTTCTGTTTAATGGCTTCAGGGGAGTTGCACTCAGAAGTTAGAGTTGTGTAAAATGGTGTTGATGTGCTATGATTGTAAAAAAAAAGAGTGAAAGTCCCATAACTCCTGTAAAAATGGTCAAATTAAAATGACAGTACGGGTATAATATGGTGAATTACATGAAAACAATCCTACAAAATATGCTAGGTCTCAGAGGAGTTGTGTTCACAAAGCTGTCATTGTGTAACAATAGTCTGAAAATAGTGAAAGTCCCACAACATGCACAATGCACAACTATAAGAATTATCAAATCAAACTCACTGTACTGTATAGTCAAGAGAATATGATGACAAATACAAGTATGCAAAACTTTCTGTCAAACGGTCTCTAAATATGGTTGTGTTATGGACAGACAGGGACAATACTTATTTCTAGCCGAGGGGGACAAAAATAAGGAGATGTGGTGCGGTTGCTAATGAGATAACTATCCATCATTAAATAGAACAATGGACAATTATGTATAAGAAGTACAGGACACTGTATGGTCTTCAATGATGAGAAAAAACCTTTACTGTATAGTTATCTATTCAAGACCCCTTAATAACAAAACTTATTCAAATGTTTGGATATTTGCTAGGTAGACAGAATATTCAATAAGAATGCAGCAATGTTGTTCAATGCATACCCCCTTTGTAATTAGAATTATCATAAAAACAGAAAGTAGGTGTGGGACAGTTCAGAAAAGATCCCACTTGTTGTAATTCATCACTGTTTAGCTAATGACCAAATATTAAGTCATTGTGATCAATAGTACTGCATGTAGGTGTCTGACAGATCTGAAAAGTCTCACACATTACAACTTACTATTGTCAAGCTGCTGACCAAATACTAAGTCATTTTGTGTAGCAGAACCTAAGAAAAGTGTGAGTGAAATATTTGTTGGACGAACAGGCAAATTGAACTTTGGTGGATAGTGGTCTCATTGGCAATCATACCACATCTCCTTATTTTTAAATGGATGGAGAAGGTGAATGCCTATAAAGAGTTAGGGTATAATGTTTTTTTATACTACCTACATTTGTATGTATTGAAGGTAACATTGGTTATATTACAAAATAAACCAGTCAAAGGATGGAAAACAAACAGATCACTGAAAAATATGTTTGACCAGTTTCTTTCTTTTTTAATACAGATGATTCATGGTACAGTGAACAAACACAAACTAAGTTTTAATGCATCAAGTGCACACTAAAATCAAAAAATAGTTTGGTTGTCAGTTCTTCAACAATAAAAAAAGAAAACTAAATTATTTTTACCATCAAAAGTAACTTTGGTTGCTAGTCCTTCTTTACTATACCGAGCATGGATTCTTTGTACATTATTCTGTGTCAAGTTACAACTGGCAAACACATCTTTACTAAGGAATAATGGAAATCCACCAGTCTACAAAATAGAAAAATATCAATTTCAGATACTACCTATCAAAGAATAATGGAAATCTGTCACAATACAAAACAGAATGAGCTAGACCAAAAGTATGTCTGGATCTGCATCAGTGCATGCAATTGATTGAAGTAACATGTATACTAAAGCATAACTGATCTTTCTCCATAATCACTGAAGCTAAGAAAACTTTGACGAAAAGGTATTTGTACAATGAGTGTTGTAAACTTTCAAACTATTGGCAAACAGATAGTGGCTGTATGGCAGATGAAAAATTGTGTTCATGCTGCAACTCAACAATATCAATATGCCAGACCAAATATAAAATCATTATATTATATGTCACATAACATAAGAAAACTTTGACAAAAGTTTTCTACACAAAGTTGAATTGATTGTTGGTTGCTTAATGTCCAGTGGCAAATATTGCATACATGTTCAGGAAGAACACAAAGTTGAATATTCAATTGAGTTGATTCAGTTGACTGATTCAACTGGTGTAAAAATTAACTGCTAATGTATCAAATTGATTGCTGAGTGCATTAATGCAAATTTACCATATAAATTTTACTGAAGATGAGTGACAATCTATAGCTATAGGTTTATTGCTTTTTTTTAACGTCTTTCATTTTCTTCGACCTGGAATGGAACAATGTAGCTATAGAGGTTGACAAATTGGATAAACACCAGTCTATTTAGAAGACTGTATGGTCACCTCCAAATAAAATTCAGTTATTTCTGTTGTTGTGCTGTTATCTCATTGTCCTATATAGGTATTATATATGTATGTATATCCATAAATTCCTCTATCATTCGAAGCGAGATCTACAAGGGTACAGTAGAATCCAAGGTACAGTGGAATCCAGGGTACAGTGAAATCCAGGGTACAGTGAAATCCAGGGTCCAATGGAATCCAGGGTCCAGTGGAATCCAGGGTACAGTGGAATCCAAGGTACAGTGGAATCCAGGGTACAGTGAAATCCAGGGTACAGTGGAATCCAGGGTACAGTGGAATCCAGGGTACAAGGTACAGTGGAATCCAGGGTACAGTGGAATCCAAGGTACAGTGGAATCCAGGGTACAGTGGAATCCAAGGTACAGTGGAATGCAGGGCACAGTGGAATGCAAGGTACAGTGGAATCCAAGGTACAGTGGAATTTTGGGAGTATTCCCTCCGACTTCCGCGTAAATTCGCTACCTTTTGTTTATTGTATTAGCGACATCTCTCCCAGTCCGGTGTGACGCGGTGTCACACCAGGTAATTAATTGCCCTAATCCTTCTGATCTATACCGGCACGCGACAGTCAAGGTATTTGAGATTACTTATGTAATTTAACAATTGTATTTCCTGTCTATTGATAATCAGGTTATATTTCTGATTGCTTGAAACAAATACAAGATTTAAAAGCAAAACATTGTTGTTAATTCTTTCAATTACACTGTACATTTAAAAAATAGTTTTATTAAAAAAAAACTATATTTGATTTTTACCTCGTTTTTTTTCTGGTCAGTAAATTAATATTTAATTTACAAAAGAGATATACTTGTGTAAAAATAAACGGAGACTTACGCTGAATAAATGTGGGCAGTTTAAAGGAAAATTACATGTCTCAAAGTCATGAAAGTTTTGTATACAAGTAAAAAAGAAAATATCATTCACTATTCGTTGTGCTAATAAGTCCACGCCATTTTCATTTTACGATTACATAATTGCTTGAAACAAATTAAAGATTTAAAAGCAGAATGTTGTTGTTAATTCTTTCAATTGCATTAAAGTTTTATAACAAAAACTATACTTGATTTTGACATTGTTTAAGTTCATCGGTAAATTATTTTATTTACGAAAAGAGACATACTTGCGTAAAAATAAACGGAAACTAACGCTGAATATAAAAGGGAGCAGTTTAAAGAAAATTACGTGTCTCAAAATTTGTATATGCAAGTAAAAAAGAAAACACTATTCACCATTCGTTATACTTAATAAGTCTACGGCATTTTCTCTTTACGATTTGTTTGCATTACTTTAGGATAAATAATTACATTTCGGCTACAACAGGAATACTTCTATAGCTGCATCAACTCGTCATTGCATAATATTCATTTACGCACAATGAATGTAAACTTGTGTGTTGTATAAAGGACAGTGATTTTAAATTTTTTTAAAAGAAATTAATTGCCGTGGGAAGACGATACACATCTCAGTGATCAACAGTCCGTGGTTGAACTTTGAACTTGACTTCGCTCACAATATTGAATGCTAAAAATAGTGACATCAATTTTGTCCACGAGATTTTTATTTGGCGGGAAATATTATCACGTAACAGTAAACTCAGGTGACCTTTCTGGATGACCGTGGGAAAATTCATTCAGGGTTTAAATTTGCGTTGGAATGATTGACATTTGTATGCCTTAAGATTAAGGCTCTAGAAGGTCCTTTTACAATTGATTAACCGGAATCTAAAATATAATCCTTTTCTGAATAAACGAACAACAGCCTTTTAATTTTATGTTTCTCAGTCAACACAGGACATAAACCTGGACATTATTTTTACGTCCATGGTCAACAATATACCTAAATGGTAGATCATATGAAAACAGGATGCATGTCGTTCAGTTCCTGTTGGGCGTTGGTAGAGATCCTCTGTGAAAATGTGTAGATCGTAAAAATCCGATCCACATTTTTTTCACATATTTCTTTCTTGTAGAACACGATATAATTTCATTTAAATATTCTATAGTATTAATTGTTGAAATACTTCTTTTTTTTATTTCGCCAAGGACTTTTAACGAGCAGTAAAATACGGATTGCGCCCATCCAATTTGATTTTAAATAATAAAGGATCAATAACAGATCATAACAGATAAACAACACATGATTTTTTCTTCTTCATATAATTAAATTAGGTTGTGATTATTGTGTTGTGTCTGGGCGGGGAATGTCTCTCAGTGTTGGGTTTTTATGAATATAGGGCACATTGCATACAAAACGTTTTCCCTTCGTTCAACAGAGTTGTCACTTTACAGTTTCTTTTCTGAGATCAAATATTTCAAGTCAGTAATCTACCGAGGTAGTGAAACATAATATTTTACATTGCAAAATAAATTGAAAGTAACAGAGTTCACTTGTTGATCCGATAAATTAACTCTTGGGTTTAGATTGGACAAATTACCGTAAAAACATCATTTTGTTTTAAGCCAGTTGATATTTATATATTGAACAATTAATGAACTGGATATTGCTCACTGAGTAGGTCATAAAAGATTCTAATTGTAGTAAAATTGTCTTTGTTGAAAAAAACAAAAATTATGACCTGACCGGACTATAATAAAAATACAAAATAAGTGTTTTATTCGTATTTTTATACGTTTGTACGTTTAATTTCAAATGACAATGACATGGGGCAAATACATACAAGAATAATTATCTTATTTTGAATGAAAATGTCACATTTTTATCTGTCAAAGAAAGGAAATTTTAATACTGTATTTTAAAGCACACAGGTGCAATCAAGATCGATTAAATGTACAAAGGTAATAAATCTGGCTAATCCGATTATGTTGTCACGCGTCATTAATTTTCAGTACATCCGATGGGCAATAAACCAATTAACAGCCGCTCGGTGTTGGGAGAGAATCTTTGGAGGAAATTGGGAGTATAATCCGTGATTCGCGGTGTGACACCGCTACACTCCGAAATCTGTGATTAGAGTTCGCAATTACAAATTCTCTGTGCGTACTGTACCTGTCAACCTATGACAATGAAAATGCAGGTGATGACCTGCATAGAAGAATGAAATCTCAGGTCATAACGCATACGAACTTTTTCGAGCTGAATTTCAGTATTTAGGGGACATTTTTCTTATAATTTATATTAAAGTTTCCAAAACATGTCCACATGGTTAAGTAATTTAAAATTGTACATTTTATTATTGCATTGCACTTAGAGGCCATTGATAGATTTGTGTTATATTGCCTTTATTCCTGTTCATATTCAGTCCATGACATACAATGTAATAATTTGTTTTTTCTTAGCATACAGTTGTGCAGCTTTTAAACAGTAGAACATATCAGAGGTTGATATTAGAGTATAATAAAATAAAGTTAAACAATTAAAGGAGGTATATATAGATGAAAAAAGTAATTTTCAAAATTTTTATTTTTTAATTGTTCAAAGGTAGAACAATAAGTAAAAGTATCATTCTGATATGTTTTTGCATTCAATTCATTTTAGATTTAATCTTTTTACAAAAAAAAACATAAGTTTAAGGAGTATATTGTGAATTGACAAAAAAGGGGAAGTAACTCAAATTATTTTTAAAACAACTTTGAAATACACAAATTATTTACGACCTAAAGCTAAGGTAATTGGTGTTAATTAACAGTGTGTTTGACACCAAAGCTGTCAAGTGAAGCCATGCACTGAAATGGGTCACTTGAGCTGAGTTTACACAGCTAGTTGAAATTCTTGTCCAGGAAGAATTACGAATTTGCTGGTATTTTAAAGAAATCAGTTTATATCTAATCAGTCTGAAGGCTTAGGAATCCGGGTGAAAAAGGGTTATTTTCCAAATTCCCAGGTTATTTGGTCACCCGGTGGGTGTTCCGGGTGACCCCTCAGAATTGTGAAAATCTCGGGTCACACCCGCACGATCCGGGTCAGTTGACAGGTATGCCGTTATTTCTCTTAAAATAACGAGAGATTTTCCAGCTTTCTTTTCTATGTTGTTAATATGTTCGCTGAAGGTAAGTTTTTCATCGAGTGTAACTCCTAATAATTTGGGATTAGGATTGTATTTAACTTTTGGCAGTGTCTGCGCGTACCCGCATGCAGGTATGAATAGTCAAATTGCCGTTCGTAGGCTACGCGTACCCGCATCCGGTTTTATAATAAAATGGCATCGGATCGGGAATGAAACGTGAAATATATACGGAATTTGTCGCAATTAGTGAATAAATTGATTAAAACTACTCAGAAGTTTTATAAATATTTATATATAGGT